CGGGAGCGGCCACTGCCCTCCAGTCTGGGCGGCAGAGTGAGACTCCAACTCAAAAAATAATAATAATAATAACAATAATAATAATAGGCCGGGCACAGTGTCTCATGCTGGTCATGCCAGCACTTTGGGAGGTGGAGGTGAGGAGGATTACCTGAGCCCATGGGTTCAAGACCAGCCTGGGCAACTTGGTGAGACCCTGTCTCTACAATAAATCAAAAAAAAATAACTGGCCATGGTAGCACATGCTTGTAGTTCCAGCTCCTTGGAAGGCTGAGGGGGAAGGATCGCCTGAGCCCAACAGGTCGAGGCTGCGGTGGCTGTGAGAGTGTCACTCACTTCAGCCTGGGTGACAGAGTAAGACTCCAACTCAAAATAATAATAATAGCCAACTGTAAGTATAAGACTTGCCAGCACGGGGGAATGACTGAAAATGGGTTGGACCCTGACTATGGCAGAAACTTCTGATTTTCTCTTGTGACTCCTGTTCTCCATTCTTGGAAATAGAGCCCTAGTTTAAACTGAGCACATGGACTGCTGAAATAAACACGAGGTCTCCTGGCACTTCCTGGAGCTAGGTGTCACCCTTTGACTCTGCCAGGGAAAGGTTCACATGGAACTTTCCAGAAGTCTCCTTAAAAACCAGGTGTCTGTCTTTAGTCTTTCATCCTTCCTGCCTGCAGGATTTGGGATGTGATGTCTGGAGCCGTTGCAGCCACCATGTTGCATGAGAAGGCTAAGGACATCATAGATAAAAGGTGGAAGGGGTCAGGCTCCCTCCTGGTCGTGGAGACACAGGTCTGAATGCTTAGCACTAGATAGTACTCACAAGAGAGAAAAATAAACTTTCATCTTTTTGGAGTCACTGTTCTTTTTTTGTTTATATAGCCTTGATCAGTGTCCCTTTATTCACAAATCCAGAGTCCTCAGTTGCGTGCAGCCATGAGCAGCCATACGGTGCTGCTGGAAACATCAGGATGTAGGTAATAGGGACACCTAGAGCCCTTCTCCCAAGATAAGAAGCAAAAAGAACATGCAAAAACTTATAGCCCCACAATCCTGGAAATATAGCACCTCCCTCCACATTGTGTCCTCCCCGAGTAAGTAAAAGTAAAGCCATGCCTGGGTCAGAGTTCCAGCTACTATTTTTTGCAGTCACCAGCTCCAAACATTTACTTAGTGCAAAAGTTTCAGATTGCCTAAAATTATCCCAGGACAGCAACAACTTGCAAACAATTTTCTAAAGCATCCTCGGGGCACAGGATCACCGTACCCAGTGGAGTCATGCAGCCATATTAGCACGTGCTCAATGGTGCCAAGAGTTCATAGGCGTCTTCCAGGAGTCATAAACAGCTGGAAATAGCTACTCCCAGTGTCCCCAGATGTGTCCCGCCTGTGAGTCGGCAACTCTGTTGAATCCAGATCAGTGCAGATTATCAGGACTTTTACAGGGTTGAGCTCAGAGCCTGCCCCGGGTTGTTGGATCATAAGGCTTGGGAACAAGACAATCAGTAAAGTATGAGAGCTGGGCTTGCACAATAAATTAGGAAAACCTTGACATTTTAAGAGGGCAGTTTGCGGGAACTGCTTTTTTTTCCCCTTTTGGAACAGGGAAAGAAAAAAATGTGTTGGCTTGTCTTTCTTATTTTTGAAGGAGTCCCTTTTTTTCTTAGTTTGTTAAAAATTGTGAGTATAGGCTGGGCTTTGTGGCTCAGCCTGTAATCCCAGCACTTTGGGAGGCTGAGGCTAGTGGATTGCCTGAAACCCGTGGGTTCAAGACTGTCCCAGGCAACTGGGCGAGACCTGGTCTCTACAATAAATCAAAAATTAGCCAGGCGTGGTAGCACACCCCTGTAGTTCTGGCTACTTGGAAGGCTGAGGCAGAAGGATAGCTGGAGCCCAGCAGGTCGATGCTGGGGTGGCCGTGAGTGTGCCATAGTATTCCAGCCTGGGTGACGGAGTGAGACTCTGACTCAAAAAGAAAAAAATTGTGAGTATAATAAAGTGATTTTTGACCTATTCTTCTTAGTTTGCTTTTTGAATTAAAACAAGTTAAATATATTCATGTTTGAGTTTTTTTGTTTGCTACTTGGGGTGCTTTGGCGGGTCATTGACAAGGCTTGCATTTTGTAAAAGGTGATAAGAGCCAGGCTTGGTGGCTCAGTCTGTAATCCTAGCGCCTTGGGAGGCTGAGGTGAGTGGATTGCCTGAGCCCGTGGGTTCGAGACCCGCCTGGGCAACTTGG